AGAATCAGAAAATTCATTAGAGAAAGTTTGGCAAGATACTGGCAAGAAATCCATTCCTTTCTTTTGCACAGTTTAGGTTTTGCAGACGTATGATGCCATTAATGAAAATGTAAGGGCCGCGTACATGTGTTGTTCGCTATGTATGTATGCATGCAGTGGTACCAGAAAGGAATGGAAAAGCTACAAGCTACAATTCTTTCAGAAGCCTGCTCGGAGAGTAGATGTGACTGGCTCAGAAGTCAGGATATATTTGATTTCTGTCTCTAACCACTTTGTTTTTTTTAAAGTTTGGAAATAGGTGGGATAGATGGTCTGGTCGCTTCCTATGGGATAGTAAAGATTGATTTGGTTCAAACCGCTTGCAGTAAAGCTTTGGGAACATTCTGCTTGCTAATTATGCCTGGTTTTCCTTTACTTGTATTTACCAACCATTGAAAGAATATCCAGATGTTGCGATTCAGTTAAGGTATGAGGAAACAGCAGAAGTTCACCGGCACCGAATCTTTGGCCTAGAGTTGGTCTCTTGTGCTCGTGTATCGTGTTCATCAGGATCAGGAAAGAAAATGTAGCCTCACTTCCCAGAACTACTGGGGTGCTTCTTGGACAGTGCATATAGTGTACCCCGTGTGGAACTCCTGGGTCAACTGTGAATGCAACAATTACTGCTTTGGGGACTTTTCCAATGACTACCTTGTTGTGATCAGACATGATCAGAATTCATGTCTTAAGGTGAAGGGAAATTAAAATCAAGCTGAATTTCAGCTACTCAGAACAATTGTGAAAGGCCACAGTGCCGGGGCCTCATGGAGCTTAGAGACCTAATAGTTAACAGAGTTAACTCCTGAGAGATCTGATTGTGGAATATATGCAAGTCCTGCTCTTGCATTTCTTAGCTGGTCTTGAGCATAGACATGGCCCGAAGCACGCATTCCACCTGCCCTCCCTCTCCTTCCTCTGAGTGGCCTGTATTCCTGTTGGTGCTCACTCCTCCAAGTAGGCCTGATTAGAGATGGTGAATCTTTCTTCCTAATACCCTGTTAGGGTGGGGAGTGAGGGGAGGCAGGAATTAAAAGATTGACAAGGTCCTTGTCAAACTGCTTTATTGACAGTGAATTTACAAATAGGAGTGGCCACTATTCCGTCCTCACCGATTTTGGTTGAGCAGACACAACACTTGCTTGCCGAGCCTTGAGCCACCACGAAGCCTCTTCACTGCTCTACTGTCCAGCTGTAACACTCACATGCGCACTGCTCTGTCCTTGCCTCCCAGGGCCCAGCCAGTTCTACCTTCTGTATCTTCCCATTCTCCTAAGAGTCCAGGTCCACAGTCAGAGGGAACGTTTCCTACCTCATGTGGGGAAGAGCTGGCTTTTAGTGTCCTGTGCCTGTCCATAAGTAGACCTTTCCAGGGAGGAACCGAAGGAATGAGATAAGAAATGCTAGTTTGTGATGATCCACCATTGGTTAATTTTGCCTTCATAACATGCACCTCCAGGCAACTTCCTCTCAGACTAATTTCTGATGTTGCAAGGACAGGATCCTTGCCATTGTGTTGATAGAACAGTGACAGACACCTTACAAATTGGGTGAACAGACTTGGCATGTTTTTCACAGGAAATGGAAGATTCTCCATGTGCTGCTGCAGCTGGAGAATGAGAGAGAGGAGAGGGGCCTTTTGGGGAAGTCAATATTACTATATTTGGCTTTCCTGTCTGAGCATAGACAGGGTGAGTTGTTGCTCACCCTGAACAATGAAGTTTGAAAGGCGTTTGTAGGGACGGGAGTAACTGAACCGTTCATAGCTGTTTGTCAGTTTCCTTTTGCTGGTCATGTGCCTGTGCCTTTAAGGCTGAAAACTGGAGATCAACTCCAGAATCTCAAGGGATTGAATGAGGGTCAACCATTAACAAGAGATTGCTGCTGCAAGAAATATTTTGCTTCCTGGTTTATCTTGTGGGCCATCATCTGTTTTTCCCTTGGGTGATGGCATGAGGGGAAAAAAAAAATAAGAATCAGCTTAAGTCATGTTGAAAGAGGGAAGCTGCATTCTGCCCAAGTGGAGGTGTTTCCTGTGAGCGGAGTGAGTGCATGGGGTCACACACACCTGGACACCTGTCCTCCCACGCGGATGCCGTCAGCATCTCCTTTCATGGGTAGGAAAGGGTGTGATACCTAACTGACTAAGGATGGCAGAAGCCAGCTCAACATTGGACACCCATGTCATTACTGATGTGAACAGCGCCAGGTGCTATTGGCGATGCTGGTGGCTACTACTCATGGTCCTACCCACCTCGGATCCTCTCAGTTTTTAATTCACGACTTGAGTTTTAGATACTTAGAACATTGGTCATCGGTGTCTAACAGAATCAGTCGTGTTGAGAGTAGATGGCTGTCCACATCCCCTGCCTTGGAGAACTGATCAAGGCAACGTTTCTTAGGATTTTAAAATGTCTTGCTGCACCCAAATCCAGGTATTCCAACGTTAAATGCCCAATGAAATGCCTGTCTTAGCCTGAAGGATGTTAGCAGCAAATCGATTTGCAAGTCTAAAGGCCTACTTTGTAAAGGTACAGATTTCTTCTGGATGCTATGTGGAAATTAGACTTGCTCTATGAGTTTTGGCTTTGCTGCACTTAGGAACACTTTATATTTTGAAGCTTCTGTGTTCCGAGCCTATTATATAGTTTTATATTTTTTAAGATGTATTTATTTTTATTGCAAAGTCAGATATATAGAGAGGAAGAGAGACAGAGAGAAGATCTTCCATCCACTGATTCACTCTCCAAGTAGCCACAACACCTGGAGCTGCGCTGATCTGAAGCCAGGAGCCTGGAGCCTCCTCCTGGTCTCCCATGTGGGTGCAGGGTCCCAAGGCTTTGGGCTGTCTTTGACTGCTTTCGCAGGATGGGAAGTGAAGCTGCCGGGCTTAGAACCTGTGCCCAAATGGGATCCTAGTGTGTGTCAGGTGAGGACTTTAGCCACTATGCTATAGCACTGGGCCTTCAAGTCTAGTATAGCTTTAATACCATCTCTAGCTTGTGTTGAAGATTGATAAATAAATTAGAGAAAAAGCTTTTAATTATTTAGAATGTCTTGTTCTTTTGACCATTAAAAGTTAACTTTGTAGGTTTGTTTATATACTTTTTTTTTAAATCTCCTTTTGTGTCATTTTTTTCTGTTTTAAATTTGAATTGTTGAATATTTTGCTTGCTGTAATAGTGTTGGGGTCACTTTATTTTTATTAGGAAGAAGTCTGTTTTTCAAGACTTGCTTGAAGAAATGCCATTTTCTAAATTGTAGTTTTAAAGAAGCTCACATATTCACTGACAGGTCTGATTAAGATAGTTTTTAGATTATTATAGACACACTGAGATATATAAACATTAATAATTAAAATAAATAGGAATAGTTATGAACCATGTAGACTAAATACGAATTGTCCTTGTATAACTATCCTGGATTTCAGGGCTTGGTCAAGTAAGCTTGCTGAGATTTCCAGCATATAAATCTGTCATTTATACTTTCTTTTGTCACCATCAGCAAGTTAATATAAATGAATGTTAAGTATATTCTACAACATCTCTTAAAAGTAATCTGATTATGAATTTGATAGGTCAAATGCAATTCTTGATAGATGAGTTGATAATATCACAATTCAACTTCTTAATGAAGTATCAAGGGCCGAGTCTTATTCAGCTTCTTTTAGGGTGAGTAAACATGATACTAATTGAATTCATAGGTAATGCAAATGGATGTTGATTGCTGCAAAAAGGAAAGGGAAATGATGTAGCCTGGGCTTATGGCGAGGAGGATGTTGACAAATGATAATGAAGAACAAGCATCGAGAAGAGAGGTTTGGCTCCCAGCTCAATGCTGCACAAAGGAATTGGGTTTGGTTTTGAAATGGATCATTTGATTGTTTAGAAACATCCCTTTCAAACATTTTATGTGAATTCTGAAAATCACCAGCTTTGCATGCCTCATTTAGAAGTCAAGTGAACATTTCTGTTGGGGCACATGGAGGAACATTGCTCTGTTCTCAGTGAAGCTGGCGGCACAGCAGGTGCATCTTGGTGGCTGAGGTCAGCACCAGGATGGGAAGAGGGCCACTGGGACCAGATGGGCTCGGTTGTTGAGAAGAGAGAATGGAGTATAATCTGTACTGAAGAATGCAAATGAAAATCAACCAAACTTCCGCTCTTTCTATCAAATGGTTTAGTGCTTGCTGCATTCCTCCAAGGCTTGTTAATGCTCTTTGGAAGTTGAATTAACCATTTTATCATTTCCTACCAGCAAAACTAAGACCAAAAAAATGTGCCTGTGCCTATGTGGAGTAATTTATTTCTAATCCCTGGGTATTTGAGATAAAACCCTTCACTTTGTGTACTTGTGCCAAAGAGACCACCACTGTTATTTTCATACAGGGGAATCTGTGTTATGACTCTGAAACATTTACCTTAATAAGGAATTTGGATGCAGTATGCAAGATGAAAAATGAATGAGTGGTAAAATGCATTTATCTTAGACATCGGCTGTTCCATTAACAAAAGGCATAAATATGAAATTTGTCTAAATAATTAGATTTTAATTAGTACATCATTTAAGATTAATATTACTGTGCTTCATTGCATGTGATTTTGTATTAGAAATTTCATGTCAACAAAGGTGCTACCTGTGGTTTGCTGATTGGAATCCATAATTTATCACTCAGTTGTATGGCATGTCACATCTTTACAGTCAGGAGCTGAAAGAAGGCATTTGATTATAGCTTCCCTGATGGTGAGGAATATTGATGATGTTACGCTGTATGAATGTATTCTGGTTCCTCATATTTAAGACTCAGACACTATAGAAGTGACTGTGTAATAAACTGCAATATTGGAGCAAGTGTTGGGGCGAATGGGCTGCCCAGTCTCGTCTCTGCCTACACTGAACATGCCTGAGTGTGGTGGGTGCCACCCTCTGTTCTTCACGCTCTCTTTTTCCTTTCCTTTTGACAGTTGCCGAACAAGCAACCGGAAAAGCTTGATAGGCAATGGACAGTCACCAGCATTGCCTCGGCCGCACTCCCCTTTGTCTGCTCATGCAGGTAAATGACTCTCTTTTTCTTGAGTGTTGCTTTATTGATGTTGGCTTTTTTTTTTTTAAGTAATCAAAGCATTTAAAGACTCAGGCCTGTCTTTGCATTTTGGTTTTCCTGTGATTTTTAGGATGAAACTGTTCTTTCTGATAGGTTAAACCCACCCTAGCCTCTATTTGAACACTTGGTTTCTGAAATGCAGAATAACTTTTTTTTAATTCAAGATCTTCTTCGGTTATCTATTTCTTTATTTGCCAATTTGTGACATGTAGAGAAGGATTCCATGTTAGGAAACTCGTTTGGATGTGCTGAAGTAGATTAGTGTTAAAAGCTGTTCACTGTGTTTCTCCCTGTAATTGTACTTCTCCATGATGATAGCACAAAGAATTCATGAAAAAAAAATAGAAGTTTATATCAATGTAACAACTTTTGGAATTTGTGCATGAGGTATTTTCAAGAAGTTCATAAAAATATGTATTATAAGAAAATCCAATTATTTGTAGGATTTTTTTTTACATAGAAAGTATCTCTTAATTCCATTTCTACAAAGTTTTAAAAAACATTTTATTGTTATATGATTAAAGCCATTGTGGGGAAGATGAAGATTCAAGAGAAGTATGTTGACCTCAAGTACTTCATTCAAATTATAAGGAAAATTAAATTAAATCACAAAAACTGTGCAATGAAGACTACTCTATAGGCTGTCTTTTTTTTTTTCTGGAAGATCTAGCCAAGATGATGCAAAGAAAGAAATTAATTCCAATAAGCAAAATTAGGGAGACATAGGATGAGCTGTTTTTCCAATATAGGGAAAATAGGCAAGTCTTTGGCAGGTAGGAATGGATAAGAGAAAGAATGCCCAGTGAATGGCTGTAATGCAGGCTTTGTGTACTTGATGGCAGCAGGAAAAGCAGGTGAGGGTCAGACTGTGGGAGGAGCTGGAAGGAACTAGAAGAGACTGTGGGTTCCAGCACAGTGTCTAGTGATCCTGAAGGATGGTGGGAGGATGTGGATTCTAGGACGGTATCTACGTGATCATGAAGGATGAGTGATTAGGTCTGTCTGCACCGTGCTGCTGTGGACACCCAGATTCACATGCACAGGTTTTCACATGACCTCAATTTCATATTCCAAGGCCAAGCTGCCATCTCTCCCAAAAGGTAGTGCTGCAGGTGAACGGAGCTGCCATAGTGAGTGAGAATTGTCTATTAGAAGTTTAGAGAGAAGAATTGAAACACAAGAGCTCCTTAGAAGTGGAATTTTAATTTCCCCGTAATAATACATGAATGTTGGTCAAGGAAAAGCAGGTGTATTGTAAGATGGGCCAGTCACTTCCAGGAACATCTATCCTAGCTAAAAACCTCTTGCGTACAGGAAGACATGTTCTAGGCTAGTCGGCAGCTCATTTGTTATGGTTAAATATGTATAACAATCTGAAAAGAATGCATCCATTAGAAAATAGGTGACTGAGCTGTGGCATAGCGCAACTGAGTCACCCATAAAAAGGATCTGTTTGTTTATTTGAAAGGCAGAGTAACAGAGAGGGAGAGACAAACACATAGGTTTTCCATTTGCGAGTCAAAGTTCCCCAAATGTCTTCCAGATCCAGGTCTCCTCCATGGTGGCAGGGCCCTGACCACTTGGACCATCATTCACTTCCTCCCATGCGTATTGGCAGGTAGCTAGATCAGAAGCACAGAGTCACCCGTCTGCAGTCAGACACTCTGATGGGGGGTGTGAGCATCCCAGACTGCACCTTAACTTGCTATACTGCAACACCTGCCCCTATAATTACAGAATGAAAAGGCAATGCAGATCCTTGGTTGAAGTCCTCTCATATGTTTGCAGTAAGCTCTAAAGGAAGACATGATGATTTTTAAGGCCAATAGAACAGTAGGTGTTTTTGAAGGCTTGAGGGGTCAATACACCTGGAGAGGAAATGAGTTGGTAATATTTCCCAGGCTGCAGAATGAGTGCACCACCATTTGTGTTATAAACATTTATGCTCTTGTGACTTGTATCGTGGTCATATAGAAAAAAGAAGTGGAGACTCAGGCAAAGCAAGATGTGTGTCAGATTATTCTTTTGAAAATATCTGTCATCCTCCAGCCCTCAATACAGGGCCTGACAAAGTGTATGTGTATGCATGGCTTTTAATTTTTATTTTCTTTTACTTCAATATAAACTCATGTTTTAATTCCATTTTCATGAACTCTTTTGAATACACTCCTAGGTGCTAAGTGAAGAATGAATTGTGTTTTTTTTAAGATAATAGTGATTGTCAAATTGAACATTACTCTTTGTGATGTTTTGCAGTAACCTTACCATACATTTTGGGCCCATTTATTAGTCTTTTATGGCTGTGATTTTCTGTGGTTCTGATATTGAGAAGAGAGAAATATGGTTGAGACATGAATGATCCTTTTTTTAAAAAAAATTATTTTTATTGCAAAGTCATATATACAAAAAAGAGTTAGAGAGGAAGATCTTCCCTCTGATGATTCACTCCCCAAGTAGCCGCAACAGCCAGAGCTGAGCCAATCCAAAGCCAGGAGCCAGGAGCCTCTTCTGGGTCTCCCACGTGGGTGCAGGGTCCCAAGGCTTTGGGCCATCCTAGACTCCTTTCCCAGAGCACAAGCAGGGAGCTAGCTGCATGGGAAGCAGGGCCACTGGGATTAGAGCCTGCATCCATATGGGATCCCGGTGCATGCAAGGCGAGGACTTTTAGCTGCTAGTCTACAGTGCCGGACCCGAATAATCCTTTTAATTTTGTTTCTTTTCTCCATATGGATTTACCTTGACTACTTTTATCTCCAACTGGAATGTGTGAGTTTCATCGGAGGAAAGGGCAGACAGTAGCATGTGGTCCCGCTGCTAAGCTCAGGTTTCTTAATGGTCTCAGGCCAACAAGTTGTTATTCATACAGGAGCAGTAGTCATCTGTCAGACCTGTGAGAAGTGATGCTTATCACAGTGCAATAGAGTCCAATTTCTACACACGAAAAGGAAGCAATGGAAATGAAATAGTACCAGACCTATGTCTCCACCCTGTGCGAAGCCCTGCCACTTGCCATCCCTTTCACTTCTTCCCTCTGTTGCTCTGCTCTCTGGCCTGTGTTTGGAACTCAGTGCGCCAGATGAGGATTCCTAGATGTCTCCCTGAAAGGCAAAAGGGGGAATAACTGCCCTCTCTCAGCATTTGTTATCCTAAAAGATAAGGTGAACTTTCTCCTTTCTGTATGGAGGGACTATGTGATCCGGGCCTTTCATGGCTGGCCCATGGAGCGTGTTCCCAGATGGAGACATGGAAGCACTGCCCGACCTGTGTGCGTGTCCCTGGTGCTCTGAGAAGCAGCCATTGGCGTTGTGTCCTGAAACAAAGTGTCTTGCAGAGAGGCAGGGATTCCTAAACGAACAGTGGATAGAAAGAAGGAAAAGCAGACCATCACGTGTTCCCGTTAGATTCAGGAAGAACTAGGAATGAAATACAATCCAGCCTCTCTAAGCACAAAGTCACTTTATCTCTTCTAAAATGAAAATGTCCCCGTAAGAGACAAAGACACAAGCTGTGAAGAGTATTTTGTGTCTGTAACTGATTGTTCTAATATCCAGTGAACTCGTATAAATTGACATGAAGTGGTGAATGGACTATAGGGAAAAGGTGTAAATAGCATGTCTTAGAAAAACGCCAACAAAAACTTCAGAAAGTGGCCTTTCATTGCAGCCGTAAGAGATGTGTATTCCAAGATTGAGATAGTACCATGCAGTCATATGTTGTCAGTGTTTTTAAACTTATTTATGTATTTTAAGTATTTATTTATTTGAAAAGCAGAGTGGCAGAGAGAGGAGAAGAGGTAGAGAAAAAAGAGATTTTCGGTTTGTTGGTTTATTCCTTAAATGACCGCAGCAGCTGAGGCTGGATTTCCTTTGCGGGTGGCAGGGTCCCAGGCACTTTGAACAACTTCCGTTGCTTGGCCAGGCATATTAGCTGGGTATTGGCTCAGAAGTAGAGCAGCTTGGATTTGAAAGACTGCTCCAATATGGTAAAAGACATCAGCATGACAAGCAGCTGCTTAATCCGCTGGGTTGCTTTCATTTAATGTTAAAACCCATAACCAAGATGTGTTGAAATGGTCTCTTTTGTGTGACATTCATGTTGCTGCAAATTAATGGACACATTTTAGGTTTTTATATATCTAGGTAGTTAGAAGGCAGAGAGGGAGAGACTGTGTATGTGAGAAAGATTTTCATTCTCCAAAAGCTTGCAGCAGCAGCAGGGCTGGGCCAGGCTGGAGCCAGGAGCTAAGAACTCCATCCAGGTCTCCCAAATGGGTGGCAGGATCCCAGGTACGTGGGCCAGCCTGCATTGCCTCCCAGGAGCACTGGTGAGAAACTAAATCAAAAGCACATAGTAATTGGAACATTGAGTACATTGCTAAATAGATACATTACCATATAGCATAGCAAATCTACATAAAGGATTTTGGGGGGGGGTTCAATTTTATTTTATTTATTTTTCCTTCTATTTTATGTTTAATTTTATTATTTAGTTCCATAGGCTCTGGAATTTCCCTTACTCCCTTCCTAAATTCTCTCCTCCCAGGCTGATATCCTCTATATTATTATAATAATAGTTTATTCCTTCCGAAGCAGTCATAAGTCCATCAATCTGCTGTCTAAGTGTATCCTGACATTGCCGATACGGACAGTGACAGACAGTCCAGCATCCTACTCTCAAGATATATCCAACAGTTTCGTTGGGAGTCCATCTTTGATCTGGAAGTAGAGATGCATACTGCATTGTATCTTCACATCTGGATATGACAGCCTCTGTTACACAGTTATTATATATTCCCCTAAATGAAAAGTCATAAAACAAAATCAACAACAGAAATAAAGTTAAAAAAAAAATTACAACACCATGGAGTTAAATAACATGCTACTGAATAACCAGTATGTTGATGAAGAAATGAAAATCAAAAACAAAAAGCCTTCTTGGACAGAATAATG